TTTTTTTTTTTTTTTTTTTTTTTTTTTTTTTTTTTGTAGAAGTGCATCTGGGCAAGTTTCAAGGGTAGGGTAACCACATAATTTATCATTCAACCTGGACACTTTTGAGAGTGAAAAGGGGCACTATTAAAAAGTACACTGGGACAACACCAGCATAAGCTAGGACTGTTTTGGGCAAATAGACATATGGTCACCTGGTCTAAGGGAATAATTTACAGAGAGGATGGAACTGATTATGTAATTAGTAGTAACTAAAAATTATGGCACCACTAAGAAGTCACTTTATATTAGCATACTGCCTTCAATAGTCTGCCAGATGTTCATAGAAAGGTCTTTTTAGCCACTGAATTTGCATTCTTAAGAAAAAACATCCTCGTGACAGTTTCATTGATAGATTGGTTTTCTTGGTACTGCTATCTACTGAATGATACTGTTACCTTCCTTGCCCATTTTAAAGTTGGATAGTTGCAAAAATTATGACTGAGTTTCTCTCTTCTTTTAGACATATATATCTGGGACTTACTGTGATGCTGGGTACAGTGTCCATTTTCCTAAGTATTGCAGTACTTTTCACTTTAAAGAAAAATTGTGTTTCAAAACATAGAAGCTTCAGAACCAAGACAGAAGGAACAATGGTATCTACAAGAATCAGGAAGGAAAATTGTACTACAAGTGATCATTTGCTACACCCCAGCTGCTGGCCAGGCAAGGAAACACAGCTTTAGAAAAATGATGACTTGAAGCCATGTTTTCTAATTTCTGGAAATTCTGCAAACAAATAGATTTTAATCAAAGGAGTTTTTAATGTGTCCTTTTTTTTCTCCTTTCAAAATATGTCTTTGACTCTAAGTATGAGATAATGTACCTAATAACAAATAAAATTAAACATATTACAGAAAATACAGATAATAAAGCTAATCCAAACCTTTTATTTCTTCCTTATATTATTTATATAAATTCCACATATTATTTACTCATTCTGCTTAATTTTGCTTTGCGCCCGTTATCTAATAGCTGTATTGCTAGAACAATTGTCCTGATAGTCTAATGGCTATACATAGAGTAATTTTTAAACTGAAATACTTGTCAAGGGGAAGAGAGTCCATTAAAAAATTAAATTATATCTTGGCCTCCTTCAAATATGACCTTAATGAAGATGTTGGAATAGAGCCAGAATATGTAGAGAGAGATTTCATTTTAAGCTCTTCCTTTCTTTTGGACTTTAGTAATTGGCACAGAAATATATAGTGGCAAATGATCTTGGAGGATTCAAATTTTGGATTATTAGCTCTTCTGCCATCCATTATATGTGCATTGTGTGTGACACCTGAAGTGACCATAATGATAAAGTATAAAATTATTATTACCATGCTTCACTGTCTGGCCTAAATTAACGAGACAGTAAACAACAAGTGTTGGAGAGGATGTGGAGAAAGGGGAACCCTCTTACACTGTGGGTGGGAATGCAAGTTGTTGCAGCCACTTTGGAAAACAGTGTGGAGATTCCTTAAGAAATTAAAAATAGAGCTTCCCTATGACCCTGCAATTGCACTACTGAGTGTTTACCCCAAAGATACAGATGTAGTAAGAAGAAGGGCCATCTGTACCCCAATGTTCATAGCAGCAATGGCCACAATTGCCAAACTGTGTAAAGAGCCAAGATGCCCTTCAATAGACAAATGGATAAAGAAGATATGGCCCATATATACAATGGAGTATTATGCCTCCATCAGAAAGGATGAATATCCAACTTTTGTATCAACATGGATGGAATTGGAAGAGATTATGCTGAGTGAAATAAGTCACGCAGAGAGAGTCAATTATCATGGTTTCACTTACTTGTGGAGCATAAGGAATAATATGGAGGACATGGGGAGATGGAGAGGAAAAGTGAGTTGGGGGAAATCGCAAACCATGAGAGACTGTGGACTCTGAGAAACAAACTGAGGGTTTTGGAGGGGAGGGGATTTGGGGGAGGGATGAGCCTGGTGGTGGGTATTAAGGAGGGCACGTATTGCATGGAGCTCTGGTTGTGGTGCAGAAACAATGAATCTTGGAATACTGAAAAAAATAAAATTAAAAAAAAATGCTTCATTGCCCTTCCTTTAATTCAGTGGATTAAGAAGTACAGTTAATTCTCCCCATATTTTAATGTATGTAAGCTCCTCCAGACGTGCACACATGATGTGATCCTAAAATGCTGTTCAAAGTTGAATTTCTGAAAGTCTACAGTAAGCTTAGATGGTATAAGAGGAATGCAGAGGTGATGGGTTGAGTGATGGTGTGGTTCTTGGGTGCTTTATCTGGCACTCATCACGGGGTCTAAGGGCTTCTGGGCAGGAGGATGCAGCTTGCCAGATAGCTCTTTCATTTGGGGCATTTCTTCTCTGCTGGCTTCCTGGAGCTTCTCTGAGGAGATATAGTAGGTTCACCAGTCCTCCATCATCAGCTCTATTACTTACTATATGTTTCTTCCTCCACCAGCTGTGTGAGAGGAGCCTGGGCCTCCTAAGAAAGCAGACTTAAAGTAGAGACCACTGCAGTGGAGTCTTGAAATTGTACCATGATTCTTAGCAGCCTTTACAACAAATAGAGCATGCAATCAGAATGCTCCCAGCAAGAAGTTTGTTTGAGGAGTTTCTAGGAGCCAAAGTCCAACAAGAAGGCCCAGTTCAAAAATGCAATAGTCAAAAAACAAAACAAAACAAAAAACCAACCAACCAAACAAACAAACAAGCAAAACCAATAGTCTTCAACAGCGGAAGTATCAAATAGTCCAAACAAAACAGTTTGCTGTTTTTTCCTTTTTCCATTACATACCAATCCTGTAAATACGAATGGAAAAAAAAAATGAGATGGAAAGTTTGGGGATGGAGAGCAGAGGGCTTTTCCTTTAAATGTATATTAATGTTGTCATTTCATTTGAATTAGTGATGTGAGATCATCTCATATTGTACTATTTTTTAAAATGAAAATAGACCTGTTTTGTTTCCAGCAGGCCTCCATCAGACCTGCTGCTGCTGTGCTAACTTGAGAGCAGAAATTCTTTTTGTCGTCTCGGTATCAGTCTTACCCAGAACAAATATTTTTCAAGTCGGTGAGTGACTATGCTTGTCAAGAATTTTCTTTGTGGGGATGAAATTAAAATTCATGGTCCTCATCCTGTCTCCCACATCCTCTTTATTTTTCAAACCTTTCTGTAGCAAAATTCTGAAAAATAAATTTTGCAAGTAAATTTCTAAACGGAATCCTATCCAATTTACTCTTGAGTAACTTGAAAAATAAGTAAAAATTGGCATGAAGGCTGATTGGATTATCTTTTTTTCATAAAAGTACTGGATGTCGGTGAAAAGGAAGCATTTTTTATACATAACCATTAATTTGACAGTGGAATTATAAAAACTAAACTCACTAATATGGCACACGAGGGTATCATTTAGTGGGGAATTGAATTTACTAAAGGGGACCCTGATATTTTGGATGAGTAAATTCATCTGACAGAAGTAAGCAGGCTTTTTAAGCCTCAGAAAGCACATGATTAAGCTTTTTTTTTCTAACAAGCCGAACTTCATTTCTAAGGTCAAAAAAATCCCCTCAGCTCCCGGGCCAGACATTTAGAGGTAAGGCCTTGACCAACACGCGGGACTCCACAATTGCTCCACATTCAGTGGGCCACTTTCTTCTCTTGTTCCACAGCCATAGCCTCTAGAACTGACCAGCACCTCAAATGACCATCTGATTCCCTGTAACTTTCAGACAGGTTAATCTCCAGCAATGTCATTTTATAAATGGAGTGACTTAAATTGGATGAAATGATTTAGCCAAAGTGGAGGGGGGCAAACTAGTGCTGGCTTCTTCTCTTCCATCATGAGGCCTCTGAAGCAGGTAATAAAAACAAGCCCTCTGAAACTCTGAAAAACAACTAGAAGAACTTTTATAATTAATAGCATTTAAGAAATCTCCACTGGGGCACCTGGGTGGCTCAGTGGGTTAAAGCCTCTGCCTTTGGCTTGAGTTATGATCTCAGGGTTCCGGGATCGAGCCCCACATCGGGCTCTCTCCTCAGCAGGGAGCCTGCTTCCCCCTCTCTGTCTGTGCCTGCCTCCCTGCCAACTTGTGGTCTCTCTCTCTGTTAAATAAATAAAATCTTAAAAAAAAAAAAAAAAGAAATCTCCACTTATATATGACAGATTTATATAATCATACATAAATGGAGATTGATAGAATACAGTGACTGTAACATATCCTTGAGAATAATAATCATTTTTAATAATTTTATAACATCTAGTAAGTATAACAATATTAAGCATTCTCCATATGTGTGCTGAGTGCTTTAGACACATTTCCTCAATTTCAAATATCAAAATAACATTATGTGTTGGGTATAATTAGTGATATCTTTAGAGGAAGAAACCTAGATTGAGAGAGTTTAGCAACTTATTCAAAGCTAACAAGTCTCAGTAATTGGTTGAGCCAAGATTTAAATCGAATTTTATCAGATTTGGACAGCCACATTATGCCTGTATTAATCTATACCCTAAATTGTTATCTCCCAGTAATTTTGCTAAAAATAAATTTTGGACATCTACTTTGGAAAAGTTTTAACATACCAAAATATGCACATGGTTAAAGAAAATCAAATGATGCAGAATGATTTAAAATGAAAAGTAACAGTCCTGCACCCTAACTTCACATCTGTTCCTCAAAGGCAATTACTTATTGCAAGTTTGGGTTGTTGGTTTTTCTGATGTTCACTTCCCTGTTTTTAAATAACATACAAATACTGCTTCTGGACTCATCAACTTTGGGCAAGGTCTATTGACTGTCCACTCTGATAGATTAGGAATAATGCCTCTCCTCCCCTGTAATTAGCATATAGTGAGGTCACTATTCTGAGTTCTTCAAACGTCACCCTACTACCTCCATTTCTCGTTTAAGAAACACAAACCATATTGTGTTTCCCCACCCTGCAAAATGAAGACCCTAGAGCTTCCTCCCTCTCCTTGATGTTTCCAAACTCTCTTCTCCTTTCTGTTTCCTGTGCCTTTACTTTAACATTGTCGAGAATAACACGTGTCAGGTCTGTGAACGTTCCATCAGGAAAAGCCTAAAAAAGAAAAAGGAATAAAAACATGTATTGAGGACCTCCTACGAATCAAGCATTAAAGGCACATTAACACATTTAAATATTAATGAGTATAATTAAAAAGTTTTATGCTTCAATAATTTTAGAATATACTGAGTTAATGATAACTCACACAAGTGCAGGACCTCTAATGTGATGATAAGCACTACTGATCTCTTCAAAAGATGAGTAACTTTATTTGGCAGACTTATTTGGCATTAAATCTACTTTGTATTAACAAGTCTTGGACCTAGGTAATTTTAATTGCAGTGTATTAGAAAAATACAATTTTATCCTCCTCCTCTATACATTTTTGTTATCCTCTATTTCAGCTTCTGGTATCAGTCTTACATAGTTTTGTAAAATTAACTAGAAAATTATTTCGTTTTTAAAGTTCTGGAACAGATTTTATAGCATAGGAAGTATCTGTCTCTTTTACATTTGAAAGAATGTTTTAGCCTTTTAAAGAAATAATACTTTGAAAAGTTTTTGATTGGTTATTTTAACTTTTTTTAAAAAATCTGCTTAGTGATTTAACTTTGAAAATTTGTGTTTTTTTCCTAGAAAAATCTTCTAATTTCTTTAAAGATTTTTTAATTTTATAAAATTAGAGCAAGTAAGCTTAGATTATATTCTTTTCTCATTCTTAGTTTTATACTTGGGTTTTTCATTTTTGTGGATTTTGCTTGACAGAGACTTTACTGAAATTTTTGGAGAAATGGCTTTTGGATTCTGTTTCTCAGCTGCCTAATTAATATTTATTTATTTTTAATTAATATTTATTTCTTACTTTCCTTCTTTCTTTAGGCATGCTTAAAAAAAATCTTTACCTAAATTCTTGACTTGTAAGCTTACAATTATATGCTCTAGCTTAGTAATGAAAACATTAATATCTTTTAATGTAAAAATTTGTATATGATTAAAAGGTTTGCCATGCTGCAGTACCAATGATGTTTTCCAAATTGTTTACAAATACATTCTGGATTTTCTTTTAGATTCAAATATCCTATTTGCTCTGAAAGGAAAATGATTTAAAATTTCTCTGTTTGGATATTTTAATTTAAATTTGTCTTTTATTTTTCAGATTAATCACATTTATAGTTAGGGAATGTAGCTTATTCAATTTATCCTTTTGGAAATTAATTGAGGACTTAAACCAAAGAAATCGGTTTATGCATATTAAGTTCAGGTTTTGAAAATAAAGTATGTTCATTGATTGTAAGACTATATTAAATATATATTTAC